TAAACGCAGAAGAAGCAATTACTCGTTATTCATTTGCGAAATATCGTGTACAAGCATCACAAATTGCACAATAAAATTGCAGATGACTTTAAATTGACGTTGACTACGGTGGTTACTACTCTAAAAACAAAGGAGCGAAATGGGTACTGTATGAGCTCCCAAAGAACCTAAGTACCAAGTTACAAATCAATGAAATTTATGGCAAAGTTTCATGAATTGAGCTACGAATTTCGTTTACAACCTACATGCCTTTCGGATTTTCCATCAGAGAATTTTTTATATTCTTGGTTCTTAGAAGAACGTTTGTAGGAAAGAAATTTATTGATAATAGAATCGTCATTGGCGAGACTGAGACTTATATCTTGAATTTCCGAAAAAAAAATTATATATGTACATATATCTAAAGCGATAAGAGCCTTTCCGAATGCTTTTTAGAATATATTTTAAAGAAGATTAATTAGATTATATACTTAATGCTTATTCTAGATAGGAAGCTTTCATGGAAACCAAACATTGTGGATAGATTAAGGAAGGCATCGGTTATCTTTGCTGCTGCAGAGCAACTTTTGGAAAGAGTTTCTGAGCTAAAGTGGTATTTTGACTATATGAAACCTCTGGAGAAAAGGTCCGGCGAGCATTTTCATGGATGTATCGAGTGTTAGTGAAAAATGGGAGAGGGAATCTACTGTCTGAAGCTTTCCATCAACTCTAGCTTCAAGCTACCAGGCCACTGCAGTATTTTTCCAGCGCAAGTGACTGCTATCAAGGTAGCAATACAGCATATACTGCCTCGAAGTGCAGCTTTTTTCCAAGAGGTGTGCATTCACTCCGATAACAAAGCGGCAATACTGGCCTTGAACTCGATGAGAGTGGGCTTAAACCTAGTCAAGGGATGTTTGATCTCTTTATCAGTAACAGCAATTTCATTTTTATCCGACTTGTTTGGGTAACTGGTCACCGCGAGATCGATGGAAACTGCAAAGCTGTGAGTTTCCCCAGAGTAAACCCTTGCCGCAACTTCAGCAGTTTAGGAACGCATGAGTGCTCCGCTGTCTTCCTGTCGTCTAGCATTGAATCTATGGACTTCTCGTGAGCTCTGGTCAACAACCAGAACTGTCTTCTGAGATACTCACACTTATAAAGATTTATCTAATTGCAAGGATAAGTGTCCTGACTGGAAACTCTTCAGTGTTCCAGTACTGTCCGAACGGAATCCTGCATCTTCACGAAGCAGCATTACAATTACAAAAGTTTTCCAGATCGATCTACTATAGCATATAGCTGTCATACAAAATGTTCGATCAAAATTTAGTCACTTGTTTTAAAAGTTTTGTTTTTGTGAAGGGCATTATATCTTCGTTGCAATCGAAATTAATAGTTTTTTGGTGTTTTATAGCTATTGCGTTGAGTTTTCACATTAAGAACGTGAAAAATAAATGGTTTTTAAGTATTGCATTCCAGTTGTGCTCAAACTAATAAAGCTATACGACACATCATGTCGCAAACACATATGCAACATACTCGAATTACGAAATATATTTGAGTACATGAACTTAAGATTAATTTACGTAGAACATTTGCGTTTCCACAGGGAAATTAAAATAAAACTTAGCCACAATTTGAGCAGCCGAAAAACTATAAATAAATGATATTTATGTAGGCAGAAATAAATGCACTAATGTACGTGTAGATATGGCGGCAGCAATGTATACAAATATGCCTGCCACTTTTGTGGCTTACCAGAAAGCCTACGAGCACATCGACAAGCCGTCAGTTGCACAGGAAGTCATAAACGACACAGGCTCATTTAGTATTAATGTCAATTTCCTTTTCGACTAGTGCGTGTACATATATTATAACGTATATGCATGTGTTTGTATTACAGGTGTACAGTAGTTAACTCACACTTATATGCGATACGAACAGCAAGTGTTAAATAAGCAAGTCCCAAGCGCAATTTTCCATCTAACCAACCGATTTTACTCGCATATCAAGCCATACCTTTGCCCATTGGTTCATACTACTCGCATGGTTTGTTATTTTTACGTGTTTGCAGTTTTTGTTGTTATGACACACATTAAATATCAACTGTACATTTACGAAGTACTGGTAGGCCATTCTATAGGGAATACAATGGCATCTTAACGTTTGTCTCTACTTTAGGTTCCCTCTGAGCTCGTTGCTCTTCTTCCGTCATTTGAATTTCAGCTTACAAGTATTTAACACGCGCATTTTATTTTGCTTTCTGCATTCTCATAGTTATCATATCAAATAAAAGCAGTTGTTTGTGACAACTCATTTGTCCGAACTGTTGTACTGTATGTCTTTGGTTTTTAGAACTTTGAAGTTGTACAGATCTCTTGAAATGTTGAAAGTTAAAACTTGTATACTTGTATATGGTAGCTCCTAGTCGCTATCTCAATTACTCTAAACTCATTCGAAAGAACAGCCGCCTTAGCACAAGATCTGGTTACAATCCAAATACCCACCTAATATCAAAAAACTGTGTTATAAAATTGTGCTTCTCTCGCCTGGCAATCTATGGACCTCGGGACGTCGATTACAAAATTTCTTACTGTTTTATTATATAGTGCCAAGGTCGGTCATTAATATATAGGGTGATCAATTTCGAGGTTCTTTACTTTTTTAAAGAAAAACATAGATAATTCAAATTTAATGGAAATTATTTATTATTATTCGAAGGAACATTCTTTGGCATTTATTTTATGAAGTATGAAGATTAGGTCTTTCAAATGTTGGCCGCGGCTACATCTCAGATGGTAGAGACTATGGAAAAAAGTACCTCTACTTGGATCACCCGTTATATATCGAGTATACACTTTAAGGTAGATCTTTAACTCGTTGCTTAAAAGTGTTATTTGTTCGAAGTTTAAAAAGTTTGTGACCTGTTCCACGTTTTATCTTCCGACTAAGATAGTTTTAATACTACCTCACCGCGGAAGATTTTTTTTCTTTTTAGGCATATTCTCTGTTCCGTAACTGGAACAAGCCTTAGATGACATTTCTTTAAGAGGAACTCATCCTTACGGACGCAGCCGCTTTGTTTGTAAGTGATATCTTAAATGAGTGAAGCGTCAATCTAGGATTCATAGAATCGATATCTAAAGAGCTCCTTAACCGAAATTTAGTTAATCAACGATGATATAAAAAACGCTGATCAGTTATTTCTTATTTCAAAGGCTGTAAAAAGTACTCCTGGTTTGAATGAAATGAGTCTACGAAGTTTTATTTATTCTATTTTACAGTCAAGAATAAATGTTCTCTCATACTTTTAAATAAGTAGATAAGGTTTATTTTTGTAAGCAGCAACTTGTAAGTTTATTAATAATTTTTACAGCTTCTTACGTTTACCGTTTCGTGTTACTGATAAAACTCACGTAGATATATGTATTGTACTTCGAAATATCGAACGTTTTTGCTATACGTCCCTTTAACCGAACAAACCTATCGGTTTTCATAAGAGCGTAAAGACCGCGTTAGAGATATTGATATATGGATTTGGCAATATCACAACACATTCACGGTCAGAAACAAAAAGAAATTGGGAGCCAAGTAATTTTTGCAGGTATAAAATGCATATTACAACTCTTTTTCATAGTCTATCATTACGGTATATCCAAAAAATTGTCACTCGCTTAATGCAAGAGAATGAATTTTTTAAAAAGTAATGCTAAAAAGTTTCGGTTCAACTAAACATAGCCTGTTATATTTATCGCAGTGTTTGAGGGGTTAGGCAAGTCTAGAAGAAAATAACTAACTTTTTTCTCTCAGAAAAACAAGAAAAAGCGTGAATTTCGGTTGCACCGGAGCTATAATACCCTTTACTGGTGCTTTTATTTATAGGAAAAGGGTATACAAAGACATTTATCTTGATTTTTCAGATCAGATTTTTCTGCATGGCAGTCAGAGGCTTAAGTTGCCCGAGCTGAACAAATTCTTCGGAGATATAGCGATGCCTAAGATAATATGCAGAGCAAATTTTGTGAATAAATCTTGTGAAATAAAAAAGTTTTCCATACTGGAATTCGATTGGTCAGTTTGTATGGCAGCTATATGCTATAGTTGTCCGATATCGGCAGTTCCGACAAATGAGCAGTTTCTTAATGGAAGAAGGACGTGTACAAATTTTCAAGTCGACGCTTTAAAAGCTGAAGACTAGTTCGCGTATATACAGATGGACAGACGAACGGGCATAGCGACTAAATCGAATCAGCTTGTCATGCCGATATTTATACCATATATATATACAAGTATAACATATAGAGTCTCCGGTTGGGACAATCCTTTAAATCACCTTTTTAAAAACAGCCTCGATAACTTACCGTGACTCTAGGGAGTCGTGCCGTCTGCAAAACGAATTTGACTTAATCTCTAAATTAAATACAATAATAATTTCAAGACCTTGCAGCCTACTTTAGGCGAGAGAAATTTCGATTTTTTGAAAATCCTAGACTGGCCTAACCCATTAAAATATTTTCTAGAAAATCTAAAAATCTATGTTTAGTTGAATCACATTACACATTGTCTTATCTCAACAAAAAACGAAATTCACAGTTAGCGCTTATAGCTAGATATATATATAGCTATATATATATATAGTTAAACACCTCGTACAGCTGCGTGGTCAAACTTGAGCTCAAGCGTGTTCAGGTCTATTTCTTAAGCACTTCTTTATCAATAGGAAGTGTTGTTGGTTTTCTCGCATTGATATTTCTATATTACATGATGCCAAGCAATATATCTCTAACGATTTCTAAATGAAACCATTCGCTCACACACACACACCTATACATTAATAAACATTAATTACTTAAAGATCGCAAATAATTTGATAAGCATCATATCAAAACTTCTTTTAAATTTATCAATTCATAAATTGATATTTCGTTCATTAAACAAAAATAACGAGATCTTATCGCGCAATTAATTTCGTATAAAAGTGAGGGAATTTCGCAAGCTTCAACATAGTTTAATATCGGGCCTTATAGGCAACATATTACTTCACTCATTTTCGGCAAGCACAGTAAAATATTAAAGAAGTCACCAAGTGTGGTTTCATAGAGTTCAAATGAAGATTATTTTTGGTAAGATTTAATTTCGCTAAATGTGTTTTAACGTTAGAGCAAGTCGATATATAGAAATCATAAAAAAAACGTTTTCTGGAAATCTGAAGAGCCTGCCATTCAACACATTGACATAGTGTATCATATTATATTATAATATCAAGAGCAAGAGAGTCACGCCACAAAGTTTAGAATTTTGTTGGAATAATTTTAGAAAAATATTTTATAAAACAACAAAATTCGTTTATGTATATTCTCTCCGCGCAATGACGTTGAAGAAGCAGGCTTTATTTTAGTGAGACACTTTTCTAATAATTATTTTATTTTATTTTATTACAGTATTCGCTAGGGCCTTGCTGGTCTTGGCAGTAAGTGCAAATGCTGCCAGCCTGAGCCCAAGTGCCCGCGCCGCCGACAATGCCCTATACAGTCGCTTTTTGTGTCGCAATAGACCGAATGGCTTCAAGACCATGGTACCTGGCAGTTGCACCAGCTACTATAAGTGTCATAATGGCGCAAGCTTACAAATCGATTGCCCTTACTACTATGATGGTGCGAAAAATATGTGCGTCGATCAAAATCCAGGTTGTGTTGAAGATCTGGTTGAAGTTGCGCCCGCACCAAAAGCTATTGATGCAGCACCGTGTGCTGGTGTTGTTAACGGTTACGTTGTTGGTAATAATCAAGCGCAATGGTATCAGTGTCTAAATAGTGCGGTGATAAGTTCTGGCGTTTGTCCCAGTGGACAAGAATATAATTTGGTATTATTGCAATGTGGTGTCAAATCCTCATGCGGTGGAGCTGATCAACCATCATGCAGTGGAAATGTTCCAACTACTCCTGCGCCATCAGCTGTTACTCCAACCACAACTTCATGCTCAACAACAATTACCACTACTGCTTGCGCACCATTAACTACCACAAACACAGGTGTTGGCGCAATAACAACTACTACTATTCGCGTACCAATAACTACCAGAACAACAAATGCACGCCCAACAACAACTACTACTTGCACACCAATAACTACCACAAGAACAATTGTACCCCCAACAACAACTACAACTATTCGCGTACCAATATCTACCACAACAACAACTGTATCTCTAACAACAACTACTGCTTGCGCACCATTAACTACCACAACAACAATTGTTCGGCCAACAACAATTACTACTACTCGTGCACCAATAACTACCACAAACACAGGTGCAGGCGCAACAACAACTACCACTACTTGCGCACCAATAACTACCCCAACAACAATTGTTCGGCCAACAACAATTACTACTACTCGTGCACCAATAACTACCACA